CCCCAAAACCCCAAAACCCCAAAACCCCAAAACCCCAAAAATCCCTCTTCTACTTAAAAATCCAAATTTATGCTTACGCCTGAATACTGCTGAACTCTGATAATATAGTGAGGATCTCAGTCATGTGCCTAGATTTTTAACAGGGGGATTACCTGTTCGGGATAAAGGTCTTGCAAGTGGAGAGTTTAGTGAATGGGTCCTTGCTATAAGGGAGAGAGGGGGAAGTTAAGGAGGAAGGTTGAGAGGATGAAGGGGAGGAGAGGGGACTGAGTGGCTTACCTCTTGTCCTGGACTAGCTTTGTGAAGACGTGCTTGTCTACAGTGATCCCTGATGGACATATAGCAGGAGAGGTTATGGGGCAAAGTGAGATCGGGCATTGCACTGATTCCTTCAGTTGTTTCATTAGTTTTGTGAACCAGACTAAAAATAAACATTTAGGAATTTACTCTTATAATTGGAATCGAGTGAAGATCTTTTCTTTGTGGCACCTGCGCATTCTCCTGCTGAGCATGATTTCTCGAGTGCTGAGATATGCAAGTCTTTCTCCAGTAATAACTCCAACAGATGATGGTCCCTTGTCAATGTATTGTTGAATGAGGATCTGTTATCCTTTTCAACTGTTTGACCTATAAAGTTAGTTAAATGGGTTAAAGTTTGGAAGTGAAAACATGAGATTAGGAATCAAATATCACTAAGTTTTACAACTATCTAAAAGCCCTATTGTTACTAAGCTCACTTTGTAATTCATAAGTAGATGTCTGTGCCTGGTTTTCAACATTTTGAAGTCTGGCCTTATCTTTCTGAAAATTTCTAACTTCTTTCTTGAAAAACTCTATAGACTTAAAAATGTAACTTATACCTAAATCTTTCTTGTTCTGCAAAAATTCTTCTTTTTGTGAGCCACAAGATTCTTCTATTTGCTGAGCTTGAAGGTTAAATGAGTTACATTGCTCCTTGAGTTGAGTAATTTTTGCATTAAGATGTTCGATTTCACTCTTACTCTTTTGAGCCTCCTTATCAGCATTTAATAACATAGTATGGCTATCAATTAACCTGGATTGGAGATGATCAATTTCCTGTTGCTTCTCTTCACATGAATTGCATTCCTGGTTCTCATTATCAGAATCATCACTTCCATAGGTTTGATCTTCATCACTCTCATCTTGATTATATCCACCCTCACTACCACTATCATCGTCACTCTCTTTGTCCCATAGATAGCGAGGTGTGTACTGACCACTGTTTAACTTGTTAACTGTCTTCTGTAGTCTCTTGCATCTCCTCTTTTTGTTCCTTACTTCTTCTTCAAGGTCTTCTATTCTATCTCTCTGTTGCTTCATTATCTGACCTTTGTTGCAGCAGCCTTGGCAGTTGTAGCCCATGATAATCCCTTCAAAAATTTAAAATTCTCAATCTCTCCCTCCAAAAACGGGGTTTTGGGGTTTTGGGGTTTTGGGG